CTGCCGCCTGCGCCGATGCCGCGGCTGCCCACGAGGCGGCGGCTGCCGTCGGCCTCTGGCCGGCCGCCGCTGCCCTGGCGCGCTCTGCCGGGCCTGCCGCCCCGGCGATCGGCACCGCTGCCGTTGCGGCCTGGCCGCGGACGGCGGCGGCAGTCCGCCGGCTGGGCGCCGTGGCTGCTGCTCGCCTGGGCGTTGCTGCTGCTGGCCCTCGCGGGCCCGCCCTGGCCGCTGCTGTTGCCGCCGCCGCGGCGCGCGTGGATGCGGCCCTGCTGGCGGCCGAGCGCAAGGCGGCTGCTGGGCGTCAGGCGAGGGGCCGTCGCCGCCGCGGCGTCCGCCGCGCGCGCTCGACGACGAGCAGAGCGCGCAGGATCTGGTAGGCTATTGGGGCCCTGCTGGCCTCGCTGCGAAGGGTAGTCCACCGTCGTCTGCTACAGCATCCCGATCAGCACGTGCGAGAAGAGCGGGCAGGGGCAGTGGCAGCCAGCCCTGGCGCTGCTCCGAAAGCTGTTCGGAGTGGAGCCGAATCCCACTCATGTGCTCCAGCGCCCAGATCAGCGCGGGCGAGAAGGACTGGCAGGGGCATTGGCAGCCGGCGCTGGCGCTGATCAGCGAGATGCTGGGCGTGAAGCTGGAGCCCACCATCGTCTGCTACAACGCCATGATCAGCGCGTGCGAGACGAACGCAAGCAGCGAGACGCTGGGCGTGAAGCTGGTGCCCTCCATCATCTGCTGCAGCGCCCGGACCAGCGCGTGCGAGAACGACTGGCAAGGGCAGCGGCAACCAGCCCTGGCGCTGCTTCGATTGATTTGGGAGGGCGAAGCAGGAGCGCGCCATCAGCGTCTACTCCACCGCCCCGATCAACGCGTGCGAGAAGGACGGGCAGGCGCAGTGGCAGCCGGCCCTGGCGCCGCCCGGCGAGACGCTAGGAGTGGAACGGAGCGCACTAGTACTATTACCTGCTACGGCACCCTGACCAGTGCGTGCGAGATGACCACGCCAAGCGCGATGCCACCATCTGCTGCAGCGCCCCGATCAGCGCGTGCAGGCAAGGACTGGCAGGGGCAGTGGCAGCTGGCGCTCCGAGAGATGGTGGGGGCGAAGCTGGGGCCCGCCATCGGCTGCTCCAGCGCCCTGACCAGCGCGTGCGAGAAGGACAGGCGGGGGCAGTGGCAGCCGGCCCCAGCGCGGCTCAGCGAGATTCGGGTAGCGAAAGTGTGGAGCCCGCCATCATCTACTGCGGCGCGCCGAGCAGCGCGTGCGAGATGGACGTGCGCAGCGAGATGCCGGTTGTGGAGCTGGGGCGACCGTCATCTGCTACTGTGCCCGATCGGCGCGCGCAAGAAGGACGGGCAGGGGCAGTGGCTGCCGGCCCTGGCGCTGTTCAGCGAGATGCTGGGCGTGAAGCTGCAGCCCGAAATCGTCCGCTGCGGCGCCGCGATCAGTGCGTGCGCGAATGGGCAGCGGCAGCCGACGAAGGCGACGACGAGGCGGAGGAGGTCGCCGGGGCGGGCATCGGAAGGGTCGACGAGGAGGAGGGAGGTGGCCAGGGAGTTGGAAATGATGATCGGGGCAGGGGGCGCCGCGAAGGGGGCGGCGGAGGTCGGGGGCGCTTTCGACGACGCGGGCGATGAGGAGGGCGACGGTGGCGACGAGGGGGCGGCCATGGAAGAGGAGGGGGGCGTCGAGATGAAGGAGGCCGTCCACGCGGTCGCGGGGGTGGGCATTGACGGGGGTTTCGAGAAGGTGGTTCTGGGGGCTAGCACCGAACGAATTCTATATGTGGTCCAAGCTCCACGGGGGCGGCGTCGACCGTGATGCACGACGTCTCCTGCGAGCCTTCCCGGGCCAATCCAGCGCGCGCCAATTCTGACGATCGACGCTGCGCCGCCAATCCCGTCGATCTTGCGCGAGCCATGCCCACCAATATCTGGATGGCGCGGGGTCTGGGAAAGCGCCGAGGGAGCCGGGGCGGCAGGCCGCCAACGCACGGACGCCCCCCTCCCCTTCAGGTTGAGTCAGCCAGTTGGCCCTGCGTCGCTTCGTCGCTAAAGGCCGCTTGGCGCCGCTGCTGCCTGCGTCGCCCGATCCGCGACGGTCTGGGGCGGGTCGAGCGCTGCGGCGGCGGGCGGACGCATGAGAGCGGAGGGGGCCCCGCGAGCGAACTGGTCCAACATCCCGGGTGGGCGGGCCGCGAGAACGACGCCGTCGGCTCCCCGGCAGGCGCGGGCGCTCCGGCAAGCTCGCCAGTGCCTTCCTGGACCGCGCCGGCCAGCGAGACTATAGGGCCGCCAGCTCAAGTCGAAGGACTAGACAGCCGCGTGCAAAGCTGGGACAGCGTAGGTGCTGGCGACTCCCGTGCGCGAACAAGGCCAAGGCCCAGGGCCCTCCCGCGCGGGCTGTCTTGGCGGCAACGTCGTGGACTGCAGACAGGCAGGCGTCGCGGGCGAAAGAGGCAGCAGCGCGCAACAGGCGAACGCCTCCCACCGTCCCCCGCCGACCATGACACGCGCGCCCGCTGCGGAGGCACCGTCTGGAGACAGACCTCGCCGCGCCTGGGAAGCGCAGGGTGACCTCTGGCTGATGGTCAAGGAGGCGTGGGCTGATTCCCCGTGGACTCGTGAACGCTGGGGCCACTTCACCTGGGACTACAGCAAACGAGGGGAGGGCGAGCTCGCCCAGAAATGGTCCCACGACAGGTCGCGATCGACTCCCTGTACTCTCTGCCCATGCGTGGGCGGCAGCCAGCTGGCACTTGCGCCCCGCCAATCTTGGCAGGCCCGACTGGCCAGCCCGAAGCAGCCGAGGGCCCGGGCTCGGCTAGGCACCTGGCTGGAGTGGCGGGCCAGCAGAGCAAGATAGCTTGGAGAGCTCACTGCGCGCACTTCGGCGGCGGCGCGCTGGACCCATGTTGGCATGACGTGAGCTTCCTTCGCGATGTCCTCGCAGCGTGTGGGTAGGGCACCGCGGTGCAGTCTCCTGTGTCGGGCGGTCAAGCACCGGACAAACACCGATCTGTCGCTGTTTTGCCCATGAACACACCGATCAGTCGGTCTAGTCAAACGCCGATTAGTCGCCTTCTGTGCCCTGTTCTCACCATTTCACTTTCGCCCATGTCCCCCACCCATGTTTCGGCTGGTCAATATTTCCCAGAGAGGGGGAACGAGGCCGACAGGACGGTCGAGGGCGACATCGCGCTGCGAACGGCGGCGTGAACTGGTCTGAAGTTATGCCTTTCCCCCACCCGTGCTCCGCGATAAATCGCTCTGGGCACGCGCCGATCTCTCGCCTCCGGATTTTGCCGTGTTTCACCCGTGTTTACCTGCCTTTTGTTTCGCCACTCCTGGCCTTCGGTCCTGTGGCGTTTTGTTTTCTGTCAGAAGTGGCGTGGCGTTCCCGCCACCCTCTGGCGGCGCCCCCCTCCGCGGTGGTTCGTCGGTCCTCTCCTTCTCCTCGTGGGTCGTGGGGTTCCCTCGGTCGTCGCCGTCGTCCGTCGTCGGTCGGTCATGGGCTCGGCCGCGTTGTGGGGTCCCCCGCCGTCGTTTCTCTGGGCTCTCCTCCTGCCTTTGCCCCTGCTTGCTCTGTCCCCCCCCCTCTCCCCCTCCCTCCGGGTCGTCCACACCGCCGGGGGTTGAGCCGCTTCTGCGTGCACGCCTGGCGGTTTTTGCTGGCGTGGTGCGCCTCTATTGTGCCGTGGTTCCTCCTCCTCCTCCTCCTCCTGCTCCTCCTCCTCTTCCTCTTCCTCTTCCTCCTCCTCCTCCTAATCCTCCTCTTCCTCCGCCTCCTCTACGGGACGTCCGTGGTCGATTTGGTCGCGACCTAGACGTCGGTGCGTACAATGCACCTCAGCCTAATTTCGGCCAGCCTGGACGTGTCATTGACACTGGCCTCTCTTGGTGGCTTGGCTATCCGCCATGCATTTGACGGCATGGCGAAATTGGCTGGGCTCGGCCCCGCATGTGAATATTTCTACGTGTGCTGCGTTCCGTCACCACCAATGTTTGATTTCTCAACATCGGGTCCGCTGTTGGGCTGATGCCGCGGCCTGTAGGTCTAGAATTCCACCCATGTTGTTCTCGTGCATCGCCAGTTCGTAGGGTAGCACCCGACCCATCGTTTCGCCTGGCCATCGCAGTCGGGTTACCCCATCAATGGCGGTGTTCGACTCGCAGACTCCTGCGTGCATGCACAGGCTTGCGTTGGCTGGTCTGGCAGACTTGCAGTTCTTGTGTTTCTGGCCCTTGGGGTCTCAATTAGCACCAGACTGCTGCTTGCGCTTCAAATTGCCCACGTCGAGCTTATGCTCCGGGGCTGTGTGTTGGCAGCTGCATGTTGGTTTTACAGCTCCTCTCGTTTTTCTACCACACCACATTCTGCATGGCGATGACTGGACTGTTCCATCATGGCGTGTTCGACTAAGTTCGTTCGCATTTGGCACCTCCACCTGCCGACCACGCCTGAGGTCCCTCTGCACCGCCAACTCAAAATCGTGTGTATGTATGTGTGTGTGTGTGTGTGTTTGTGTGTGTTTGTGTGTGTGTGTGTGTGTGTGTGTGTGTGTGTGTGTGTCAGTCTCTCTCTGTCTCTCTGTTTCGCTTTACCTCCCGCATCTCTCTCTCTCTCTTTTCCTCTCTCGCCCCTGCATCGTTATCTCTCGCTCGCTCGATTGCCATCCCCGTCGCATTCAAGCATACACCCTCAACGATTAGGGCAGACGGGCCAACCACACACCTTGTCCTTTGCCTGGTCCTCCTCCCCCTGTTCCACGTTGTGCCTACTCCTCGCACGTGGTTGAGGGGCCTCCAAATTCGTCAGCTCGACCGCCTAGCGCCGACTCTGGGCGCTGACGATTGGGACGAGGGCTTTGCGCCTCGCCCCAAAACCAGGGGGCGTCTGGCCCCGAAACGTAGAATACGCACGCCTCGACTGCTCCTCCCTCCCCGCTTGCCGCCGTGACCCCCGCGGCCGCGGCCGGACGCAGATGCAGGGCGCGCGGGTCGCCTCAGGCTCGCTCAGATGGGCTGAGGATCTGCTCTCCCTCCTCCCCTTCTCGTGCCCTCTGCGCGGCAGGGGGCGGGGAATATGGGCGAGGCGAGAGAGAGA